CGATGTGAGTTCGTAACGACAGATCCTTTCATTGGAACAGAGACATGATATGGGTCTTACAATGGCTAACTCAATTTTTCATCAAAATTATGTCGAGCGGGAAATTGTAGCAAAGCAAACTGAATGATAAAACTCCAAGCATGATGAAACAGTTCTTGACTAATGATAATCCATGTGGAACAATATGGAGATTTTCTAGCAGTGCTTCACAGAACAAGAAGACAAAAATCTATCACAAATCTGGGTGATACTGAAGGTGCAATCTGTCGGAATATTGGCGCAGCATTTGAACTGCCGTAGAATATTCGAGCACGGATGCTTGACCTTCTAAGCAAGCTATGATTGGCTGGAACGAAATTCCAGTGATCGCACAGAAATGACTTCCGGTTTGCGTTGATTGACTATTCGAGAACCGGAAGTCAACCAGATGTCCGCCGGAAGTCTGCCTTTATGAAAAGACCAGATAACTTCAGAAATTGAATGTTATGCTGAATACTGCGTACAGCCTGCTATGTAGTGCGTAGCTGTCCAGATATCCGTTTTCATGTCTCGCCTCGAGAAGCACCGAACATCCCTGCACAGACACAGAAGGCTATCTGGTCTGGCAGCCTCGAGTGCTACAAAGGGAATATTCAACACACATTGTCGCAGTACACAGCAAAACAAATAAGATCAAATATTTACGCTGGCTTGATCGCGGACGAACCTCTGATTTGAAGGAGAGGCTGGCCAGCTGATCGCCTTAGCTCACCGTTGGAACCTACAGCTTGAACTTAGAGATGGCCATGAAACCGTCGCTCCACAAGTTATATTGGCCTCTTGGCGGATACATGCATTAGTAAACTAGATTCTAACTTCATAAATGCGTGCTTTCCAACGTTTGTTTCGTGTGAAATCTGAGTTATTCCAACGTATTGCCAAACATGATACACTCGTCACTCTTTTTGACAAGTCAATACTGCAACGCAAAACGAGACTGGGGTCAGTGCGTTTAACACCGTATGTGTTGCTCCGTTGATTGCGACCTTCATCTCGAAGGAACAACAGTAGATGAAAACGTGGACCCATGAAAAAGAAAGATGTGAAACTGAACGAGAAAATATTGTTGGCGATATTTTTTACTTCCGTCTTACGGATCTTGCTATCGTAGAACTGTGGATTTATAAACTACTAATTAGCAACTCTCTTTCCAGTTCAAATCGTAGAGTAAGACCCAACTACAGAGCATAGCTATATTATGTGAAATTTCGCAACAAAATTTTGCTTTCAGCAACACTTAACCAATTTGTTCCAACAGGCCTCTTTTGTTCATCTCGCTGTAAGTTGTGAAGATCTTTCTATAGGCTTTTGCTACATTTAGAAATTTGTTCTAATTACTATTTGCCCAACTATCTTCAGGCGGCCGAGATTTTGCAATCTGTTTGAGCTTCAATCGATATGTTGCCATTCTGTTTTCGTTTGGTTATATCAAACTCAATTCTGATGCAACGTTGTGAAGCTTTCGGTAGCAGATATATTGATCTTAGACTCAGATGTACGGGCACTTTCCTAAGCAGAAACGTTTCAATTAGGTTGGATTCCATGAACAACACGGAATTGATAAAATATGAACAAAATAAAATAATATTCTGTTCGATAATGATAAAATGCCTACAACTATTGATACCAACCGAGAGACCATGATTAATCCTAGCAACAATTAAGAATCGAATCCAGCTGGTGTTTCATCGTGCAGCTGATCCGATTGTGTAGTGTGCCTCGTCCACTTTAATCGAGACAGTCATGATCCTGTTTAAAATATCCATACTTTCCGTCGAGTGCCCTAAGCCTCAGAACTTCCGTGGCTTTACGGCTTACAAATACGTTCGTGAAGCTCGTATATATTAAATTTTATGCCGCCTAATGCTGCAACTTATAACTGGTTGCCCCGATGCCTGAGAATCAGAAACAAACTTCATGGTGGACACAAAGAGTTTATTGACTATCTAGGAAAAAAAGACTGCATTCAAAAAGTGGTTAAGAAGCAAAGTGATTTCAACTAGAAAGAAATAAGAGAAAACGCGCGGGGAGGCGGCGAAAATAGTGGCCAAAGTGGAAAGGTCGATGATGTGCTGCAGTCACATTTCCAGAGGCAAATATTGTATTCATCCATTCCATTCACTGTCTCTGAGACGGAAGAACGAGAAGTCTCAGAATAGTCAAAAAAATTCCGGACGCCGTTCTACGAAGTATGAGGACATACTTCGGCGATGGAGAGAGTTAAGAACCCCAAAAATCCCTTTACTCGCCTGAAGAGTAGCAAGAAAATTACATTAGTCTTTCAGTAGAAGGAATGCCAGAAGCTGTGAAAAGCTAGAAAAGTGGTAAACTTACTGGCATCGATAATATTTGTCTTGCGATGTTTCAAGATTCAGGAGAGCATAGTTCTTGTTAATTCTTCCGCCCATTTCTCTCTGCAGTTCAGTGAAGATGCAGGAGAACAGGTTGAAAAATTCGCTTGCTTAGTAGTTGTGTATCCCATTGATGGAAATTAGTAGGAGGTGATTGGAGGGAGAATTGAAATTGTCAGGGATGTTCTTCATAAATTGGCCGTAACAGTTGTGACAACAGCAGAACCGAGTGTGAAGACTAAGGTGTGTATGCATTTAAGTTTGCTTCCATTCCAATGCTCACCTATGATTATGAATCCTTAAATATGGCTAGGCCGAAAAACTTCGATCTCGCGTGCAAACTGTTGAAATGTACCTTATGATGAGAAGAGGTGGGCTTCCGAATCTCGACATGGCCGGGAGTTTAGATATCTAGGAAAGCCCTATGCATGGCCGCTGCTTCTGAACATTAAGTCACAGCTTCAATGGCAGATTCAATGGTTTGGATGCATCTTTTGAATGCTTCCATAAGGAAAGGCTCAAGACCCATATGACAGCGAAAAATAGTCTAAAACTAGTGTCTCGAAGGAATCTGTTCAAAATTAGCGTTATTTTCTGTTGAAACTGAAATGCTATCTGATGCGTGTGCTTCCATATCCGGAAGGGAAAAGTACTCATCGAAGCTGAACTGACTGACTGAGGATCCATTATGTGTACATGACCATCAACATTAAAGTCACTGTAACTTCTACGCCGAGATGCGGCTTGTCTAGCGATAGGCGCGTGTTGCGGTGCGGGCTGCGTCGAGAAGGTGTTGCATTTACACCTTTCGTTTAAGTAAGTAACCTCAGTTTCGTATTATTCCTCTGAAAAGCGTGCAAAAACTAGAAGAATTTGTTTCAGCAGCTGACCGACGTATCGGTTTTTATCGGTTCGCTAACAACGGAGTACGAGTGCCCGACGGATGGAGTACAACGTAATCGTTAACGTATTTTCTTTCGTACTGCTGGTGGCAGCGCTGGCGCTTCACAGATGGAAAGGAAAGGGGTCCAGGTCAGGCGTGGCTGTCACGTCTACGGTGTCCAACGCAGATTTTGTGTCGTTTCGCAACGTCTTCGTGATCGGACATGTTGGTTGTCTTTTTGCCGAGAGTCTACAGGCGCCGTTTCTGTATGTACTGTTTAACAGCTACGGTTACTTGGAGTCTCAAATTGCCGTTCTGTACATGTCCGGTCTGCTGGTGAACATAGTGTTTACGATGGTGACCGCCCGCTTAGTGCAGCGAGTGGAACGTCGACTGCTGTGCTGTCTGTGCATCAGCCTCAGCTGCGTCGCGTGCCTCCTCAAGCTGTCCCAGGCTTATGAGGTGCTGCTGGTCAGCCGTGCCTTGGACGGCGTGGTCGCTTCCCTGCTGCTCGTCCCGTTCCACGAATGGTACCTGCACGAACACCTGATTCGCCACGACTTTCCCACCGAGTGGATCGCCGTCGCGTTCCGCGAAGTCGCTGTCGCTCATGGATTTCTGGCCGTCTTCGCCGGTAAGCAGCACTGTCTATGAACGTTACGTTATTTCATATAAATACTTCTTCAGGTTTTTGATTCTGGGTGCATGGTCATATACATGATTGTTTGATTGATTCATGGTTCGGGGCACCAAATACAGGTGGTAAATAGTTTTTACTGCCAAAGCGTTTCACTGCACAAACCGCAGCATCATCCGGGATAAACTGAGTGCAATTGTCAGCTTGAAGGCATTTTTTGTCCAACAAGCGAACAATGCCAATTTTTCAATTGGCTTATCACACTAATGATCCTTCCGCAGGCTAAATCATTTACCATCTGTATTTGTGCCCCGAACCATCAAATCCGAATCAGTCAAACACCCATGTTACGTTTTTTCTTTAGTAACGATAATAAATTTGCGGATAATTATTGATCTTAAAGTTGGCGTGTTAATTTATCATCGCTTCTCCACTCATCTGCGATCGGCGTTTTGATTACACACCATACATTGACATTGTCGTGTATAGGAATTCAGGGCAATGAGTTTGTCTGCTTGGGCCTTGTTCTCTCCACGTTAATCTTCAATACAGCTGTCAAATTTAGCAATAACTTTTGCTCATTTTTTCTGTAGGTTCCTTGCAATTTTTTTCTCATGATATCATCGAATGGTCATTCTTAACACGTTTTCCGGAATAAAACAGTTTCCACGATTTTGAAGGAAAGTATTTCACTTCGTTGTCAGTAGTATTTCGAACCGATTCAATGAAATCTATTCTTATTACCAAAACTAAGCGAGTAAAACATCTTCATCTTTTCAATACTTTTCAGTGGCTGTCGGTATGACTCAAGATTTTCCTTTTTTCAAAAAATGTTTTTGCGGGTCCGACTCATCAATTACACGACATTCTAGCCAGCTGTAAGTCGATTGCTAAGGGAAACGCGTAGCGAGTCCTTCAACTCTGTGTACACCACAACTGATCCTTTTAATCTCTCGGTCATTCCTCACCTAATCGAATCCTTAAGGAATGGAATATATTTATTAGCCCTGGTCCATTCTAACTTGTCATGAATGTTTCTCTTTGTACATGTATTCTGTCATGTTTGTTGTATCGTTTTGTTTCGTGCTTCACCTTTTGCAAACTTGCTGAAGTTAGCTGTCAACTAGTGGTTCCTACCGACTATAGTAGTAAGCGTGACTTGACTAGTTTTACGTTTCGGTTTTTGTCACAGACACCATCACGCCAGATATTTCACATATTCTCCGAAAGCCAATCCCATATTACTTCAGTAGGGAAGGTAGAGAATTTAAATGAGATTTGCGTATATAAAAAATAGCGTTTCCAAATTAACGGAATAAAATTAATGGCAGATATATGCAAATTAAGTAGAAGATTTAAATACAACAAGCAATAATTTATTTGTACACAACTAAAATAAGTTGTACCAACGACAAATGCAGAGAGACCGACTTATGAAAGAGTTACGTTCGAATCATGAATCATGAAATAAGAAAATTTTACTTAAGTCAGATTTAATCCATCACACCCTTATATATTCAGAGTAGGTGTTACGGTAGTACATTATCATGTTTGAAAATCTATTTCTATTAGTTTCATTCACAGAATGCATCGACATATAACATCGCAATGTATTAATACAGTAATACATTACAGTATAAATAGTGTGTGAAATTGAAAAATATATGAAATGTTTAATTTGGCGATTCGACCTTCCTTCTGAAATTACCAGGAGATGACTGAGCAGTGGCTTCCTTCATAATTTCATGAGTCATTTGATAATAGGCTTCAGCGTTATCTATTTCTCTTTGAACTTTTGATAACCATGAGGCATTAGGATCTATCAATCCCCCCATTCGTGCATTGGTGCTGAAATTCCATGGAATATGATTGTCATTTCTTTCATCACCAAATGTTTCGATTCCTCTTTTGGTTCTGAAGCTTAAGTTTCTGCAATTTTTGGTACTGCTAACTCAATGAGTTCTTCGTTTGAAAATTCATTTTCAAGCGAGTCGATCAGTTCTTCCGTATCGTGTTCATGCCCCTTTGACGGCAGCGCTCTTCACAGTGGCATACGCTGTTGATAGTGCGACACACAGATCATGTCATACCGCCGTTAGGCTTTGTCCACATCCATGTTTTTTTAATAATTTCCGTTTTTAGCTCAATTTTGGTTCGTTTACGCATTGGTTCATCTCTTCCACTTCTGTTACTTTTTCAT